AAAAAAAAAAAAAACTACCTGTGTGCGTGTGTGTGTACATGGTTTTTTCCTGTTTTTTCACAGGAAAAAAACAGTAAAAACAGCCAACTGTTTAAAATATAGATTTACAGGCTCAGTGCCCATAGCCCAGTGGTTAGGGTGCCAGCCACATACACCGGGGCTGGCAGATTAGAACCTGGCCCAGGCCTGCTAAACAACGACAACTACAACAAAAAAATAACTGGGCGTTGTGGCAAGCCCCTGTAGTCCCAGCTACTTGGGATGCTGAGGCAAGAGAACTGCTTAAGCCCAAGAGTTTGAGGTTGCTGTGAGCTGTGGTGCCACGGCACTCTACCAAGGGCAACATAGTGAGACTGTCTCATAAAAATAAATAAAATAAAGTATAGATTTATAATTACTAAGAAATAAATTTTAATAAAGTAAATCTATTTGCTCTAGTATAAGTCAGAAATAGAGTCATAGTCACCCTTCAAAATAACAAGTACAAACATTCATGGAAAAGAAAAAATTTTAAGTTACTGGCTAGAAAAAAGTTGAAATGTCTGCAACATAATACAAATGAAAATAAGACACTATCATATAAAAAATGAAGTTTTAACTCAAAAAAGTTAATAGTGCTCAAATTATGCAAGTAAGAGCAATTTACATATTTCAGATTTGTCTTCTTTAAAATAATTTTTGGTAAAGTTTTGAAAAGCTTGCCTAGTTTTGGGCAGCGCCTGTGGCTCAGTGAGTAGGGCGCCGGCCCCATATACGGAGGATGGCGGGTTCAAACCCAGCCCAGGCCAAACTGCAACAAAAAAATAGCTGGGCATTGTGGAAGGTGCCTATAGTCCCAGCTACTCGGGAGGCTGAGGCAAGACAATCACCTAAGTCCAAGTGCTGGAGGTTGCTGTGATGCCACGGGCTCTACCAAGAGCAACAAAGTGAGACTCTATCTCTTAAAAAAAAAAAAAAAAAGAAAAAAAGAGAAGAAAAGCTTGCTAGTTTTATACTCCAATGAATACTATCTCAATAGAAGAGACCATAATTAGGCCGGGCGTGGTGGCTCACACCCATCCCAGTACTCTGGGAGGCCGAGGAGGGTGAAGAGCTCACAAGTTCAAGACCAGCTTGAGCTAGAGCAAGATCTATCCTCTAAAAATAGCTGGGCATTGTGGTAGGCACCTGTAATCCCAGTTAGTTGGGAGGGTGAGGCAAGAGATTTGCTTGAGCCCAGGCGTCTGAGGTTGCTATAAGCTATGAGGCCAAGGCACTCTACCAGGGCAACAAAATAAGACTCTGCTCTCCGCCAAAAAAGAAGGCTCTGCACCTGTGGTTCAAGTGGCTAAGGTGCCAGCCACATATACCTGAGCTGGCAGGTTCAAATCCAGCCAGGGCCCGCCAAACAACAATGATGGCTGCAAGCAAAAAAAATAGCCAGGCGTTGTGGCAGGCACCTGTAGTCCCAGCTACTTGGGAGGTGGAGGCAGGAGAATCACTTGAGCCCAGGAGTTGGAGGTTG